TCTCAGACTCAGACACCGAAGGAGCCGCTTTCTTAATCACCCGAGCCCTTAGACACCAACGCCAAGCTGCAGGATACCCAGCCAGTGAACGCGCCCACCAGCATGATGATGATGGCCGTCGGTACCGGGGCTGTTTTCCTGGGCCCTAGATGAGGATACTCTATAGAAAAGCAACTCAAAGCCCGATCATCATGCTTCCTTATATAAGCCTTCCATTAATTAGAATTGGCACTGCAGTTGGGACCTAGACTTGAAGTCGGCATAGATCCATTTCAAAAACTACGAAGCAGCAACTATCATACGAACCCCAAGAACCCATCAAATCTTCATACGAAGCCCCAGAACAACCGCTGTCAAGGCCCGTTCAAGCCCCAACGTCCTCTGCAGTGGTCGTTATGGTCTTGTTGTAATAGGGAAACTCTTAAGGACACTGTAAGGACCATTTTGAATACGATCCATTTAAAACCAGGGCGCACATCACCAAAGAAGCAGACGAGCGCCACTCCCAAAGGTAGCAGGCCGAGGTGGCCTTCATGTCTCAGGAGATTTCCGGTGGCTCCGGGTGAAGGATTTAAGGTTTAGGGAGTTTAGGGCTAAGGATTTAGGATTGAGGGGAAGCCCCAAAAAGCAAACAATCCTCAAACTCCATGCAAACCGGCAGGAGATCGCAGCAAGAATTCCATACTGCTTGAACATTGGGAGCTTTAATCCAACGGCCTGGAAGCCGAAACCGAGGTGAAATGATGATGATGATGATGATGATAAGGATGATGGTGGCCATGGTGACGATCATGACAATTCTTGAAACCGCTTAGATGTGGGCTATAGTGAGCTACAGCCAACATTTCTGATCTCAGTAATGGACATGGTGCTCTACTCAGATGCGGGCTGCAGACTTCAATCAGCTTTCACAGTGAACCCTGCGTCCACCGCAAAATGGTCTGCCACAACAGCAATATGGAGAGCGAATCGCAGAGGCTATAGCAAGAAAAGCTCCAAGGCCTGCTTTGAAAACCTCGATGATCTGAGCCATGCCTAGCCACGTGAAGCCCAGACCTCAGGATGCTTCTGCAGGCTTAGATTCTTTTTTTCAGGCTAGCAAAATTCAACAGATAGCAAGAGATGTAAAGACTTGTTTATGCAAGGTCCAGATGCCAGCAAGCGCCATCATCAAGGAGGCCTCTGCAGGGTCTGGAATCTCATAGGTATAGGGTTTGGGGATCCCCGTGGGTTCAGTCTGGGGTTCAAGCCTTTGAGCCTTGCGACTTGAAAATGTGGGGTTGATGCTGCGCAACAAAGCTTCGCACAGCATCGAAGACGCAAAGTCCCAAATCCTACAGGTGTTTAGGGTTTGGTCACACCCCAGGACTCGAAAACCTTTGGCAGCATGCTACTTCGCAAGCCTGGAAGCTCTCCTGAACCCTCAATTCTCCCTAGAATCGTCCCAATCACTTCGCCATGGCTTCTAGGGCGATCTTGGGATTGCGGGGCCAGGTTTTGGGTGTTGGGCTTGGGGTTGGGTCTGACATAATTCTTGACCTGAAAACCTGAAAGCTCTGAACCCTGAACCCTAAACTCCAGAGAAGGCCGCTGCGACGGCGTCAGGGCACGAAAAAATATGCTCGGTTCACAATATCGAGCCATGCACCTGGCTATCTTGCATCTACAGCCTAAAGCCCTGAACCCAAAATGCTGATTAGTTTCTGCCGCTAAAGCGGCTCCAACATTTTTGGACTGTCGGGCGTAGGGTTTGAAACTGTTTACACCCGGTAGTGATAACTCAATTGTAGGTCCCCAAGCCAAGTAACTATGGTCATATGTAGGGATGAAATGATGGTTCCTAAGCAGGTTTTAGTCAACCCGCCCCCTCCAACTAGGTCCTGGAACCCCAAACCTCTAAACCCAAAAACGTGGACAAACTCACCCCTAAACCTCAAACCCCAATAGCAAAACAGCTGAAGCTACCAACCTGTGGAGCGATACGGACGATGAGGGGTCCAGCAAAGCCGCAAAGAGTTGCAATCGCCTAGCTTGAGCTTTAGGTTGAAAGTTGAGGCGTTCCAGCTTTGGGCTTCAGAGCAAGTAAAGTGATGCCTTTGGCCTATATGAGGATCAAGGATTGGAAGGGGATGAGAAAGAGGTTGTCCGGTTTTGTCCTGGTGGCTGTCAGAAGAAGGCCCAACATACTGGCTGCGGTGTTGATTGGTTTCAGGCTTGGTGTAGAGTTAGTTGAGGGTTCAAGTGTGAGGTGTACAGGTCAGAGTTACCGCATGTCGGCGGAAACCTTACTGATGCTTACCCTGGATTGAAGGAATGGATGGCTGGAACAATAACTTGTCTAGCGATTTAGAGTATTCACTCCCCCACTCCCGTGTAAACTGTTTCTCATTTTGTGGTCTTGGTTATGTGACACTCCTCACAAAAACTGCATGTTGGGGGTAGTCTAGGGACTCCAATTTAGGAAACGTCCATGCAGCTTGAAGCACCTTGACAATCACCAGGTGCGTTGAAACACCAGCGTCATCGTGATAACTCCGCCGATACCCTAAGCCCTGTGTTGCTACAAGTCAGGAGAAGGCCATGGGACTTCGAAAATGCACACGCTCCCCAATGAAACATGGAACCTGAAAAGGGCACAGTATGACTACTTTTTAATCCGGGACTCGTGGGGCTCCATGCTAGTTTGGCAGAGGGGGTGCATCGCAGAAGGAGTTCACTTGATACAGGTGAAAATGGCAGGATCCGAAAGATCCGTTGGCTGTTGACACGCATACAAACAAGCACCCTGATGACGTTTTCGAACGTGGTCATTATTCCCGACCTCCTCACAGTTGCCAAGAACCTGCTGTCGGACGGGGCAGTCTTGAACCACGTGGATCCCAAAAACTGCAATCCTCAACGAACAGTGTATGAAAGATATCTTTAAACCACTGTATGGGACTTTTTCAATACTGCCACTAGAGACCAAACCTGGCACCCAAAATGTACACTCACCAGTTTTTGGGAGGAACCCTATAGGCCCTATATATTCATTGCACCAAACAGATAACAAAGTCCTACCTCAGAGGACCGCAGCATAACCGAGTTACGCCGCTAACGAGGTTGGCCACGCAGCCAACACGCCAGGCATGCATCACGCCCTCCTCCCAGCCCATGCCCTGACCTGGGCATTGGGGTTAAGAGCTTAGGGTTGTAGATGTCGTGTTTAAGGTTTAGAGTCTAGAGGTTTGGATTTAGGATTTGGGTCTTCAGGCTCGAGGTTTAGTATACAGACCTTGGGGCTTAAGATTTGAGGTTCAGGATCTAGGGTTGGCGTTTGAGGTTCTGAGCTTGGAGTGCAAGCGGCTTGGTTGCACGTTTGGCTCAGACAGCAGGAAAGAGAAAATTGTGATGCTCCATCTCGTTTAAGGTCAGGCCATGAAGGCACATCAATCAGCGTGCGGCTAATGGTGCAAACTGAGTGCACTATCTCTGGGCATAGGGTTTCTCGTTTACAAATGGGAAGTGTGCAACACAAATTCGTGACAAGCCAAGCAAGCCTTCTAATTTCACAACCAACATTGCTGTTGCCAGTGTTGTCACCATTGTGCCTGCCTTTCTTGCTCCTTTAAAATCTACCCCCCAACTCCACACTCAAGGCACCCAAAACGGCAAGCCTTTTGAAGGGTTCCAAACTCATGGGGGTTTGGGGCAAACGCAAGCGTCTCCTCTGAAGCGCAAACTCCACACTACGCGAAACCTGCAACAAAAGCCCGGCACTGATGCTAGTTCTAGTGATAGTGCTGGTCGTTTCCCTTATTGCAGAATGTCACCCCCCCCATTGTGAGCCGGCGTCGGCATTTCTTGCTTGTGGTGGTGAAATTCATGTAGGGCGCCCGTATTGCGAGGGTATCGTTCTGGGGATACCTTTTTAGGGTGCCCCGTATCGTTTCGCAGTGGCTTTAACCTCTTTGCACTCATTGAATAACCACCTTACTACTTTACAAAAGCTGTAGTTTTAACCCGGGCTCAAGTGCATGTACATGATATACTGGCTGCCCATATGCAATGATGGAGGGGTGTCTGTAATCTCGTATACGAACATGAAGCAAGGGCAGGGAAGAGGGAACTTTCTTAACACTTAACACGGGACCCAGGGCCTCAGGACCCAGGTGGAAAACTAATTGACTTTCTCTTTTGGCTGACTTCAAAACTCCGCTTCGAGCAGTTACCAAGAATCGCTAAAATGGCCTAGCAGTATTTTATCTTAGGCAGGTTCATACTAATTGAGAAGCGACCAGCCCTGACTATTGACTACGACTACTCCTCCTCCTGCCGCAGCGGCTGCTTCTGCTGCTGCATTACTCCTGCTCCCGAAACTATCCCTACACTTTTGCTCCTGTGATACCCCACTCCCTAAACCCTGCACCCAAAACCTTGCCCAGTGGCTTGCGGCAGCTTGCGCTGCGTTCGCGACGATGCTAAAAACAAATGCGAAGGCTGCAGGGGTGTTGATACCTTGGAAGTACACAGGATACAATAGAGAGCTGAGTAATGCACCAGTTTTGTTTGTAGGTTCGGCTTTCAATCATGGGGACCAGTGAGGGACTGGCTGAGCATGCCACAAACAAGCAACCATTGAACCAATGGAGGGTCTTGAGTGCGGGGTACAGAGTTCGCAGTACACAACTAACTCGGAATGGCTCATTACCATTGACGCAATACTGTCTCCGTAGCCTTCGGTCAGTACAATCAAACCAAGGAATGTGAAAGTGTTCGTTGGTCATATCTTGTTTGACTTCCCTGCCTACGGTCAGACACAACGATTGTGAAGTTCAGGTCAAGAGAGCTTGTAAATTGGAACTCAGAGAAATCAAACAGCAAAAGATTCAGGGCCATAGCCATAGTCAATGTCTCCAAAGGCCCAGACGAGGGTAAGCTGTTCACATGCTCACGTGAGACCTTGACAGCGCTTCCAGCGGAACCTTCTAAGTTCTTGTCTTCTGCTTAGTGGATTCATATCACACCGAAGCAGCCAAGAGGCCGTATGGCAAGGTGCAAACATGTTTGCCCTTGTCTTTTCTCATCAACCGGACGGCCATCCAGGCGTAGTAGAAGTTGCCAAAAATCATCGTGATGCACATGCCCGGCACTACCTTCCCATACAGCACCTCGGGACTGCAGTGAACGAAAAAGTTGCTGCGACAGAAAGCGAGCCGTCGAAAGCGCAAAACGTGAACCCTTGTCCTTCGCCCCAAGAAACAGCAAACATACTAGGCAAATACATCTCCCCCACTAGGCATATGACATGGTGCAAAATTGTTCTCCTCAACATGCTTACTTCATGGCTCCTCGCCTGAGTGATGAGCTCGCTCAGGCCATGGGCATCTGCCGTGTCCTTGAAGGGCGCGGACATGACCTTCCTTGGTGGGATTCAGCAAGTCACTGGTACAAATGTAACGCCCCGTCGCCACGTGAAGGGGCGCGTAGAAGACGCACGCAGTACAGCAGAAGGCCAAAAGCATGGTATACGTGGCATTTGGGGCATGCGCATACACCTGGAAACAATGCATCAATGCAGCAGGAAATCATCTTACAATCTGGCAAATTGCGTTTTCGGCTGGGACGCTGTCTCGACAGAGGTTGGCAAACATGCACACAAAAACACACACGGGGTTGGGCAGAAGTCCAAAGGCATGGCTCACGTGGTATTTCGGGCATGTAAACACAGCTTCAGTGAAGGCAGAAATGAAGGCAAGCATCATGCACGAAACTCGCAGCTCCATGCTTTGGAGCAGGAGGCGCTTTGTGATGTTCTGGTCATCGCATGCTCTCGTAACACGAACGTTATTATTGTTTGGGCATGGATGCTCTGGTTATCGCACTCATTAAAAGATGAACATTATTCTGTTGTTTGGGCATGGATGCTCTGGTTATCGCTCTCACTAAAAGATGAATGAAATTATGGTTTGGGCATGGATGCTTTGGTGGTCCCACTCATTAAAAGATGAACATTATTATGTTGTTTGGCATGGATGCTGTGGTTGTTGCACTCATTAAACGATGCTGCTCGTCGTATGCTCTCGTAACACGAACGTTATAATGGTTTGGCATGGATGCTTTAGTTATCGAATTCAATAAAAAATGAACGGAATTGGGCACTGATGCTCTGGTGATCGCACTCATTAAACATGAACGGAACTATGGTTTGCGCATGAATGCTCTGGTCAGCGCACGCTCTTGGAGCACGAATGCTCTTGTGGTTTGAGCATGGATGCTCTGGTCATCGTATGCACATACTATAGACATGTAGAAGTGCTGACGGCATCGGCACTTCGCGCACGTAGGGCTGCGCAAAATACTGCGATGGCCAGCAAAATGGGTTCGGGCGAGGACGCTGATTTTGTGCCTTTACATGGCGACAAGACGAAAACAAGGAAGACATGAAAAAGCAGAAAGCTGCAATAACAAGCTTGAGAATGCGGCAGCAGCAGCAGTAGCACCATCACCAGCAAGAGTGGAAATTTTTGCAGTTGTACTTGCTGGTGCTCTGCAGTAACAGTAGCGCAGGCAGTAGCTGCTGGCACCAGCACGACCGCGGATTCTCAATGAACAACTTACTTGGGTTAATGCAGGATTTTTCGAAACTACCGTAGCATTAGAAATGGCAGCTCAAGCAGCAGCTGCTGACATCTCCACACCCCAAATCCCCACCTTGCAAGCAAGTGTCGTCATAGCTCCGATGAGTCCTACCATCGTTCCGCTGATCTGACATAGCAGGTTGAGCCCGCAGTTTATCTCCCCGATCCGGAAGGGCAACAGACGCCTTGATGTGGCTCCAAGTCAAGGATGCAGTTTACGGTATGAGGGCTCAGGGTTTAGTGTCAACAGAAACTCTCCAAGGCGGAAGTTCACTCAAAGGCTTCTGTTCAAGAAATCAACTATGTAAAGGCGAGATTGCCTTTACCCTTATTCCAGCCTGCCATTCAAGGTTCGGATTTGACCTCTGGACTGCAGGAATACAACTTCTGTTCAAGACGTCACGTAATCCAGCTGCGACCTCTCCTAGCTAGTTGTTGCCAGTTCTACTGAGGTTTCCAAAAACATTCGAGAGGCCTCGAAGCGACTCGGAGGCACACAGGTGTTAAAGGTAAGGTTATAAGTAGAACAGCAGGTGGGCGATCTGGGTCACAGGACTCAGAACTACCAGTCCAGCATTATCATATAGGAGTTTCTCAACATCATCGCTGCATGATCCTCATGGGGGAACACGGGCGAACTAGCAGGGGGTGAGCGGAGGGGCATGGACACACGAATGCCCACTGTTGTGGCTTTTTCCGCGTGCCTACTGTACGTTTTGGTCATAAGCGCATTTCATTGGCCACAACTGCAACATCCCGAGCTGCTTTTAAGATCCTTGCGGCATGGAACATTCGGCATTAAGGGTTCCTTACTCTAAAGTACTGCAACCACGGTCAGAATTCCTATGCTTTGTGTAATACAGTGCAAGCACTGCATAGTGGTGGAGTTCTATCTGGCGTAAAACAATGCTGCCACAAGGAACTACAATGGGAACGTGCCACTTGCCGTACTGTATAACAAGTAGGTTTTTTCGTGGAGACTTAGGCCTCAAAACCTCCCCAAACTGGTATGTGCCACAGTTTATTTAGCAGCTTAGCATTTGTATACAACTCGATCCTAGTATACCCAAGTCCTCTACACAGCGACCTGCAACGTATGAATAGTGCTTGTGCCACATATGCCTTTACAGCAATAATCCGAACCCTATTCAAACCCCACTCCCCGTGCCCAATCCCAAAGTCCTAATCGTCAATCCCAAGTCCTAATCCCGGAACCCTGGACCCAGAATTCCAAGTCTGAACCTGAAACCCTCACGCCCAAACCTTACACGATTACAAGGTCTTCAAGGGCCGTTCAAGGGAGGTAGGAAATTTCAACCCACAATAACCTCTAATGCTGCATAGATTTTGGAAAGGCATCCTGAGGTTCTCTAGTGCTTACCCATTATGCATTATGGGATGCACGNNTTCCCCCCCCCCCCCCGCAAGGACATTGTAAAACAGTGCCAATTGCCAAGGTGCGGCATGTTGGGAACCTGACTACAACTGTCGGATAACGACCCGACTCGCAACTTTAAGCCGAAAAAACTCAACTGCGCCGTTCAAGGGTTTGCATGGGGATTCAATAGGGGTTAAAACTCAACAGCACCGTTCAAGAGTTGCATGGGGATTCGATAGGGGTTGAGGAGGGCATAGTGGCGGTGAGGCTTGAGAAGGATCGATTCATAGCGATTTATAAGAATGGGAACGGGCGACCACGAATGAGCTGTATATGTTGCGTGGTGTCTCATTTGAGGCGATTTGCGATCCTGAAAAGATTGGATGCTATGTAATTGTTGTATATGAATTGTGCAGGGAACACGGGCCACATAAGAGCCATGGAAAGATTGAACATGTGTTCCACACTTGGATATTCTAGGGCAGGATGCGAGGATTTATAGTTAAAGCAATCTCCTGCTGTTGGGTGCCCCAATTCGGCCATGTGGGAGTCCTTTGGTGTACACAAGATAGCCCTGAGTTTGAAATGCACTTTATCCTAGATCGCTCTTCGACAGGCAGCCGTCAGCATGTAATCCGTTTTGACGTCTGGGGGCTTAAAATGCAACTATGCGTGACATTGATGGAACCCAAAGAGGTATCAATGAACACAAACGTCTTTTTACCAAGGCACCGTATGGGGTTCCATGCCATGTTAGCTTGGGAGGACAAATCCTACAATCACTGCAGGATCCCTACCCAACCCTAAGCCTTCCTCCTACAGTCAGGGCCAGTGCCGTCAGAAAAAGTCAAGCGCGCAAGATGCGAGAGTTGGGCCCTGGGTCGACATGTGACATGGAGGTTATGGGGCCTACCCTGCCACCCACAATTGTAGGCGGGCGCGGAAGCCTTCAGCTTAGGACGTGAGATTTCGGGTTTAAATTCTAAGGTTTTGGATTTAGGACTCAGGGTTCAGGGCTTAGGATCTAGGATTTCAGGATCTAATTCTTTGTATGCATGAGTTAAGGTTTAGCATGGGAGGCTTACGCCCCAAACCGCGTTGAACCCCAAACCCACCCAAATCGAACCGCAAAATCCACGAACCTGAACAACCAAAGCCACAACACGCAAAATCCCAACCCCTAAAGTGCCCAAAGCCATGACAGACATCTGGGGGTCATGATTTCGTTGGTTGAACTGAGCAAGAAAGATACTATTCTTCCTGTAAAGTACTATACCCAAAAGGAGGACACGATCTCACTCTCTATTGGGGGCTAAAATATCCCAACATACCCCGCATGTAGCAATACTAATCTGACCCATCTTTTCTGCCAGCAGCTTGTCAAGGCTCCAGTGACTTCAGCTTTACAAGGGTAACCATTGCTCGAAATGTTCAGGGTATGTCCGCATAATCCCAACAATGCCTAGTCCTGATAAACACTTCAGTACGCCAGAACAAGTGCTGAGAACTTCGAGCAAACCGCCACATTCAAACTTGGTCTACGTTCATCCGCTCAGTCTGATTTTGGCTCAGTTGGAGGCTCTGGTGCGGGAGCAGGTTGCGTAGGAGCTTCACCAGCAGGTTATGGAAGCTTGCTCCAGCCGTGTGTGCGAAGATGATGCAGAATACGGCATTCCACAACACCTCAAGTACTGTAGGTGATCAAACGCAACTCAGACCAAGGCATTTCAATCTTATTTACATCTTTAGGTTGGACTTCTGTTTGTGATTCAGGTCTTGAACTGCTGTTGTTGCACGCCCCAAGATTCAAAATGTGGTTGGCGGGTGGAAGTGGTGGAAGCCGGTCTAAGTGCTTAAGCGCATCTGGGCAAGCTGTTAACTTCATAGTATGGATTTGTGCTGAATCGGTGGACAGCAGCTAAACTCTTTGCAGCAAGTAATTTTCGATAGCAAAACAGGCTTTGGGGCTTTAGAGCCATTAGGCAAGACAGTCTCGGCCATAATCCTGTACATGACTCCGGTTACAAACCTGGAGCTGTTTTCGTCATCCGTTGCAGAACGCTCCGTATAACCCCTATAGACCTTCATAAGCCCATCGCGCTCCTTTCAGCTTTGAGATTCCGGAACCCTAGACTCTAAAGCCCTAAACTGCAAAAGTCTTAACCATGCCGAAGCACCACGATGGCTGCATTCAGCCTGGGGTCCCAGGACTGCCTTGTAATGTGTGAGAGGACAGGCTCCTGAGCTTTGCGTAAAGCAGGGCCTAGAGTTTGGGACTGAAGGTTTGCGGGCTTTGGGGTGTAGTGGTTTTGAGTTAGGGTTGAGGACTTTAGGGTTGCAGTCTTCAAGCTGAAGGTTTTTGGTTTTTGCGTTTACGTGTTGGTTTGGGTTCAGGCC